ACATTTTATATTTTCTAGTTTTTTAGTTTTCTTAGACTAAAATATTATGTCTCATATAACTATAAATAGCATACAACGAGTAAAGAATAGAGAAAGTTTGAAAATTTTACCATGCATAAAAAATTACAGTATAAATAATAAATATTTGGTAAAAATCGTTTAAAACGATTATCCGTTTTTGAATTACAACAAAAAATCAAAAACAGATTTTTTCAAAGAAATTACTATTTTAATCATTTTTTCCCAACACTCTCAAAAACTACTGGGAATTTTATACAGTGGAACTTGTTTAACTCGAAGTTGAAGGGATAGGGACCAAGGTAAAAAWTGGAGATATCGATGATTTCGAGTGAAAAAAGTTCGAGTTAACCAAGTTTGACTGAGATTACCAGCGAATGCAATATTAATAGATTCACTTTCTATTATAGAAAAAATGATGATGTCGAGAATCGGARCATTTTAACTTGGAACCCAATAGCGCCGAAGTGTTAAATATACTATAACTATGACATCGTACATMAAGGGGCCTCATCAGCCCCCTCCCCAATTTTATAATTTAACCATCAGATGCAAATCAAAGGATCTACAAATAAGTAATGTAACTTTATMATCGCATATTTTTAAGTTTAAACGTTTATTCTATTCTTGATGCAGTACACGGAAATATCTTATAGCGGCCCCCTTCCCATCTAAAAAAATCTATCATGTCATATATAAGTTGGGTGATCGGTGTTACTGTTGGGACATACTTCAAATGTTTATGACAAAAAAAAAACATACATCATTGTAAAATAAGCGGCTATAGTTCTCTGCCATATATTTTGTGTCTATAGTTGCAGAGTTAGAGTGAATTATAATGGATGTGTTAAATTTTAATTCAATAATTATAATATTGTATACAAGAAACGACCCTGGTCGAAGACGGTTAGCCTAGGACAATTTCACTAAGTACATTTTATGATATTGTAATTAAAGTACCTATTGGTTAATTTTACTACTAGGTCGTATTAGAACTATCATCTCATCACTACTACAGTAAGCTAAACTTGTTTTTGACAAAAAATTGCGCTTGGAAATGTCATTGTGTGTCTACTGTACCTATGTCTCTATACAATAAATTAATGTAGGTACTCTAAAAGTCAAAAGTGATCTAATATTTTTAAGCTGCAACAAAATAACTAAAATCGTTATTCTAGGTTTTAATAAATTATTTTATTTTAAAACATTTGTAAAAATTAACTATCTATTCGAGGCGATGTTGTACGATTGAGAACGTATTGCCTTTTTAGCAACACGATTGAGAACGATTGTCGGCAGATCAAAGAAACAATRTTTTGTACCTTAAAATCAAACGATTGAGAACGATTTTACGAACGACGTTGTCATTTATCTTAACTTTTAGTAATAATTTTTAGGGCTGGGATTTTGATCCAAGAACATATTTTTTTTGGTGTTTTGAAATGTTGCTGATTAAAACTGATTTTTTTGCATTTCTTGATAAAATTCACCTTAAATTTGTTTGTAAAATGAAAGAAAATTTTTGTGATTAACAAAAGACTTTTGACATGTTTGCTTTTGATTTTGGATTATTTTAAATTTTTAATCTTAAACTGACAAATAAAAATATAAATATGTTGTAAATAAATATTAATTTTTTAAATTTTGATCTTAAAAAAATGTCTTAAGCAAACAAATAAATCCATTATTAGGTATTCAATAAAACAATAAAGATTAATA